TAGAAATAACTATAAAGTTGTTTGCACCTACCACTCCAAAGTTCAAAGAATAATAATTATTAGAAATTCAAATTTTAATAAATTGAAATTATATAAGAAAATGAAAATAACAAAATTTATTCTATAACCAATTTAAAAAGAAAAAATTAATATCTAACCCAATGAAAATAAAAAAAAAATGGTATCTAACCCTTTGAAAGGAAGAAATTGAAAGAAAAAAATGTATATACCTTATAAATTTGGGTAAGAAAATTTATATATTTTCATATTTTAATGGTATAAATTTATTAAAATGTTAAATATAAAAATTGTATTTATATTTAATAAGAATTATTTGAAGAGAAAGTTTATATATTTAGATATTTTAATAGTATAAATCTATTAAAAAAAGAGGGTCAAAATATTAAATGTAAAAATTATTTTTAAATTTAATAAAAATTAATTTTTAAAAATTTTGAATTTGTTAAAACACAAATTAAAAGTACAGAGTAATTATTACTGACATAAAAGCAAATTAAAATTAACACAATTATTTGACGTTTAATCAATTTCAATAAAAGCAAACAAATCATGACACTAATTTTAATATTTACTTAAACAAATAAGGTTATTATTCATTAATTATTTTAAAAAATAATTGAGACTTAGAAAGAGAACATTTAACTTCTAATTTAAAAAAAATGGTAAAACCCCTTTTTTATCTCTAAAATCTGAAAAATAATATATATATATATATATATTTAATAATGTTTTTTTTAAGACAATTTTAAAAGATTCACCTTTGTTTAAATAGATTGTAAGTGTATATATATACAGAGGAAGATTAGCAAGATTGTAGGGAGATGTTTTTCGCTAACCACCCAAGAAGACAAAGTAGAATTGAAAATTAAATAATATTTAAATATGTCGAGTTGCATCCAAATTCATCACGTCTAAGATTTTTTATTAAGTGATTTGAAGAGTTACATCATAGCAAAAATGTGAGTATGGAGCAATTAAATACGAAAAATCTTACCTAATATCAAATGCAATTATGTAAAATGTCAAAAATAACAGCAATTAATATGAAAAATCTGAAAAAATCTAAAATGGCCCCATTCATTAGTGAAAAAAATAGGTGAAAAAATCTAAAATGGCCCCATTCATTAGTGAAAAAAATAGGTTGGAATAAAATAAGATCAAATAATATCAAATGCAAGGTTCCTTCCTTATTTTGGAGCTAAAAAATTTAATATAATAGTTTTATTATTTTTGTTTTGTTTATATTATTTTATTATTTTTAATTTGGAATGCTATGGTACTAATTTTGTTATTTATTATAGATTCTGGATAAATAAAATTTAAAAAAAATTGATAACCCACAAAATATTTTTATAAAGATGGTATCGGAATAATTATAGATAAATAAAACTAAAAAAATTGATTATTTTCAGCATTTTGTTATTTTATTATTTTTGTTTTGTTTATATTATTTTATTATCAGTCTATTGTTAATTTATTATTTTTGTTTTATTTATATCATTTTATTATTTTTAATTTGTAATGCTACTGTACTATTTTTAAATATATTGTTTATGCAAATGTTATTTTGTTATTTTATTATTATTATTATTATTATATTATTTTGTTATTTATTATTTTTATCGAAGATTGTATTCGATTATAGTTTCTGGCTAAATAAAATTAAAAAAATGGATATTCCACCATCTATATTATCCCTCTCACGAGTGGGTTCTCAATTTTTTTCCCAAGTTAAAATTTATCGTTCAAGCCATATTGTTCAATTTAATATTGAATAATTTCTAAATTAGCAAAAAAAAAAAAAAAATCTTTTCATTTAATAATGTTTGCATTTAATACCAAATCCGTTCTAAATTAGTAAAAATCATTGCATTTAATATATTTAATACTATACTCCTTTCATGAATAGAAGGATTAAAATCGTTGGAGGAATGAGAGGCTAAGAAGTATAAATGAAGCCTAACATATTCAAATACTCATACTTCCATTATTAAATTTTAATAAATAATATTATTTTATATCAACCAACCATAGAATTTGATGAAATTAAATTATTATTTATTATTATTAAATAGAAGTTTCATTGAATTTACTCTTTGACCACGTGTATCAAAATTAAAATATACATTTTTATTTACTTTATTTTTGTTTTTTTATTATTATTAATTGTGTTAAAAAAATAATTTAATAAGTATGTGTAGTACAGTGTCGGAAGGGTGTAAGGTATCAGATTATTATAAGACTTAATAAGCATTTTCCCTTACTTGCCGCTGCTTTATAAACAATTATATATTATAAGTAAGAGGAATATGTAATTTATCTTATGTTAATATAATGTGATATTTAGAATTTTATTTGTTCAATTAAATGGGTACTTTAAAATCGTATACAAGTACTTGATTAATATAGATATTAAAGAGATTAAGTTTAAAATAAAATTAAATTAACGAAATAAATTAAGATTCTACTAAGTAATTTTTCTATTTAATCTCTAATATGGTGGAATTCTTAATTTTATTTTTCATACTATAAAATTTTAATTTTTTAATTGAGTTAAAAATGCTCTATTTTAATTGTATGTACACAAAAAAAATATTATATAATAAAATTAAAAATTAAAAATCATTTTATGTGATTTAAAATCTTGTATGACAAAGAACTAAAAAATGACTAAAAAAAGACTAGACTTGACCTTGTCATTATTTTAATATAAAAATATAGAAATCTATTAAAAAATTTACATCTTTAAAAGAAATTCAAAATCCAAAAAGAATTATATAATATATATATATATATATATATTATTAACAAAGTCCACGTCTTCAGCCGTTTTAAACCCAAAATATCTTTTTCTCTCTTAAGTATTTTAATTACATACAATATGCATGATTCATATTCCAAAAGTAATATATATAATTGTTTGTTTTCAAAGTAAAAAAATAAAAAATAAAAAATAAAAAATTATTAATTAATTATAAAATATTATCCAATTTATTTGCTAAACTAGAAATGTGAATGATAGTGATATGTAACTTTTTTTTCACCATTCTCCTCCTTTTCTCCCCTCTTCACCTCTCTAATGTAAATTAAAAGTTCACGATATTTCGTAGTCCTTAATATCTTTGTTTAGAATTTTAAGAGACTATCAACCATCTTTATTTTAAGAAATGTCTAGTTTTTTTCTTACCTGCTTTATTAAGTTTCTGTGCCATGAATTTTCATGCATTCTTGAGTAATATTTCTTATAATACTACAATTTCCTTGGATGGAAAAGGAGACTACACAAGTTAAACATGGAGTTAAACCGATACTTGTGTAGTATCTTTTTCCGTTCAAGGAGACGGTAGCATTATAAGAAATGCTACAAAAAAAAAGACATAAAAATTCATATATAAGGAAGATTGATAAATCAAATTAGGAGATTGAGGACTTTAATTCATAGAGGAAAGAGAAATGGAGGAGAAGAGACAAATGAAGTTAAATATCACTCTCATTTACCTTTCTAATTTAGTAAATAAGTTGGCTATATATTTTATAATTATTATCATTGTGTGTTTGAAAAAAGAAATTGATGGATGTGTTAAATGATTTAATTTCAAATGTGGTGTTAAATGAAATAATATTTCTAATTTAGTACATTACTACCTACCCAATTAAATTAGCCATTATACTAAAATATCTTTTTATAAATTTAAATTTACAAAAAAAACTGTTAATTACTAAATAGGAATATTAGAAAATAAAATTATTTGATTTGGTCAAGAAGGTTTTATAAATTATTTACATCTAATTAATTTATTTTTCCAATGCTTGATCCATGACGCTAAATCTTCCCCGAAGAGGTAACCGTTACAGAACTTAGAGGTGAAGAAAGAAGAAAATCTAAAAGTAAAATTCTTGAATCTAAATTTTCGGATTTTCTTCATCTGTGAGATATATTGAGAGTTAGAATCTGAAATATGAGTATGTTATTGTAGGGAGGATTACGTTCATAGTCTGTGAAGGAAGTCGTGATCGATTCGAATCGAAAATAGGAGTTTTGAAGTTCGCCAAATGATGTAGGTATTAATGTTTTTTGATAAATTTAGACTGAGTTTAATATATCACTGTGATTAGAAATAAATTATAAGAAAAACAAATCTCGTGAAGAAATCATGTTAATCCGAGTTAAATAAAAAGAAATAGAAAAATGCAAAGAAAATAGAAAATAATCAATTTTCTGGAAAATTGCAGGAAGAACACGAACGACGGAGGAACACGGGCGGTTGTCATGTGCGCATTGGCTGAGAAAACAATTAAGAAAAATCCTACGTCGGGTAGGATTCGAAGACCGGCGCTCGCTACAGACCCGAGAACCCGCGCCCGCCCGGCCTCCCGACCCGATCCGATACCCTACCACCATCCGCCGCGTGTTGTGTAGTGAATTTGCTATTCCAAAGCCAGTATCATGGTTGAATTTGCTATTCCAAAACAATGAAATGCAAAACCATCTTTCTATTTAAATATGAGTTACCTTATGCTGAATTTAAACAACTTATTCTAAGAAAAGAGACGTGTCAATAATGGTTGAATTTGCTATTCCAAAGCCAGTATCATGGCTCTTATTATAAAAAATTGTTGAATATGCTCTGCATAAATTTTAAAATTTATGTGGTTCTACTGTATTGTATGATGATACGTACCCTTAACCTTATATGTATCATATGTTCGTACATGTATGTAAACTGTTATGGAATGATATATAAATTCGTGATGTAAATGAATTAATATGTTTACGATATATTATGTTACGTTAAAGATGGTATCAACAATCCACCCACCATTTATTTTTATTATTGGCATTTCTATATATATAAAAAAAGAAATTAAAATAAATAAATGAATGAATAAAATCCGATGGGAGATGGGGGCGATGGAGATAAGAGTGTTTGGAATCGAAATTGAGGAGCTTACACATATCATAACGTGTCGTCCCCAAACCACGTCGTATTAACAGGTGTCTCTCTTCTCTCCAACCCCATTTCCCCCATTTTAAATCCCACAATCCTCAATTTCTCAGCCATGCAATTCAAAATTAAACCTTTCCAAGAATTTTCAGATCCTTCAAGAACCCAGAAATTGCTCTGTTTTGCATGCTTTGATCTTCGAGGAACTGTTTTGAGCTGTTTTTGCCGTCGCCACCGCCGCTATGCCGCCGAGACGATATGCTTTTGGACGGGCAGATGAGGCCACCCACCCTGACTCCATTAGAGCCACCTTGGCTGAGTTCATTTCCACTTTCATCTTCGTCTTCGCCGGCGAAGGCTCTGTTCTTGCTCTTGGTATGTTGTTCTAAAAAATTCTTCATTTAAATTCTTACCCAAATGCATGCATGAATTAATTGATTAATCCTTCGATTTTGCAGACAAAATTTTCAGTCCAGCAGATTATGGAAGTTATGGCCATGGAGGTTACAGTCACGGTGACGGTTATGGTCGGAGGAGGACCGACACGGGGCGAGGTGCATCCGATTTAGTTGTGATAGCGATAGCGCACGCATTCGCTCTGTTCTCAGCGGTTGCGGCGAGTATCAACATCTCCGGTGGGCACGTCAATCCGGCTGTGACTTTTGGCGCTCTTCTTGGCGGGAGGATATCACTTATCCGTGGAATTTTCTATTGGGTAGCTCAAATTTTGGGTGCCATCGTCGCTTCACTGCTCTTGAGACTCGCAACCGGTGGCATGGTAAAGAAAGGAAATGATTTGTTTATGTTGTTGTTTTTTTTTTTAAATGGATGAATAATTTTATAATTGGGAAATTGCAGAGGCCTATGGGGTTCTTCGTTTCATCAGGGATATCAGAAATGCACGGCTTTCTGCTAGAGATAGTGCTGACGTTCGCCTTGGTGTACACAGTCTACGCAACAGCAATAGACCCAAAGAGAGGCAGTTTGGGGACTATAGCGCCACTGGCAATCGGGTTAATAGTGGGGGCTAATATTCTGGTGGGTGGGGCGTTTGATGGGGCGTGCATGAACCCGGCGAGAGCGTTTGGGCCGTCGTTGGTGGGGTGGAGATGGGACAATCATTGGATCTACTGGATTGGGCCATTGCTGGGAGGTGGGCTTGCTGCGCTTGTTTATGAGTACTTGGTGATTCCCGTTGAGCCTCCTCTGCATACTCACCAGCCCTTAGCTCCGGAGGATTACTAAGCTTTTGGTTTTTGAATTTGTAGAGACAGATTCGAGTGTGTGGTTTGGATGTGAGACTGTTGTTTTTTTGTAGTCTATTTTGTTTGTTTGTTGTCTCCGTTGGGGTTATTTGTGGTGTTTATGTCGTTCATCAAGGTAATAAAAGCAATACAGCTTACATCTTTTTCTGGTGTTCTTTGTTCTGTTTGGTTTGAAAATTAGAAGGTGGGTTCATGGTTTTTGGCGCTTAATCCTTATCCTTTTCGACCTTGGGCTCATTTTTGTCGATTATTACCTTGATGATAACGAAACGTGGGATATGGGTATGCCGTATAGGTTCAAAAGTTTTGATCTTTATCCTTTTTATGTTGATTGAATTTGGTCGTATTCGATGTGCTTTGCACGGGTGAATAGTATCAAAAGACGCTGGGTCCCAAAGGAGGTGGATTTGGGGGCGTCCAACATCAACGGGTGGAAGGAAAGAGTGCCTCGCTAGGAAAGAGTGTCGGCAAGGATGCTAACTCCCACCGTGTGTCAGTAAAGACGCTGGTCCTAAAGGGGTGGATTGTGATGTCTTAGATTGTGATGTTGAGTCCTAAAGGGGTGGATTACTTCAAGTGATGGATTGTGATGTCCTACATTGTGATGTCCTACATTCTTGTGACCTCTTACATTCGTGAGAGGAGAAAATTACTCTAAAGGGGTGGAAACTTTTGAGGGAAAGCTCGAAAAGAAAAGCCTAAGGGAAATAATATATGCTAGCAGTGGATCTGAGTCGTTACAATAATCGGCGTACATGCTTATTGAAATTGATTTCAATTGACTCGAAATTCGGCTTCCATGCTTTTAAATCGATTTCAATTTCAATTCAATTGACTTGGGAGAAATCGACTTTGGAACTCATAATCTAATAGACATGTAATGCTTAGAAATTGAAAATAATATAAGAAAAATAGTTTCTTTAGCTAATTTGAAGCAAAAATGGAAGGAAATTATAATCGTTTTAAAGTTAACATATTATAAATTTCGTGCGGGTAGTGATAAAAGTTTCGATTTTTTTTTTTCCTATATAAAAGGGTATACAATTGGGCTGAAGGTTGTTTGTTTCGAATCAGATCTAGCTATGAAGAGCCTTGACGCAATACGAAGGGGAACGACGTACTTCTGTTTCTTGTTATACGATTGCTTGCAGGTTCTTTCGCAATGCAGATTCATAGGTTCTCCCCATCTTCCAGCTTGATTCTTTATCTATGGAACTTGATGATTAGAAGCTCTGTCAATGGCGGGTTGGAAGCTCTTGAAACCTACTCGTTTATGTGCCACTTTGGAATTCATGGTAACAATTTCACATTTCCTCTCCTCCTCAAGCCTTGCGCAAATCTTGCTTCGATCGGTGATGGCACGATGCTCCACGCTCACCTCTTCCGTGATGGGTTCGAATCAGACATGTTTGTTCAAACCTCGCTTGTCGACATGTATTCCAGAGTGCTCTGACGTTCACGCCAAGTGGTCGACGAAATGTCTACAAGAAGTGTCATCTCTTGGAATTCTATGATTGCAGCTTATTCTCGCGGTTTTCGGGTTAATGAAGCGTTAAAGCTACGCCTGTGGCAAATTCTCTCATCCAAATGTATGTAAACCTTGGTCAAATTCATGCAGCTTGCTCTGTTTTTTATGCCACCAGCGACGAGATAGTAATTTTTTTTATGCCACCAGCAATGGTTACCTGAGATCATTTGATCTTAGAGAGAAAACAAGTGTCAGCAAGAACGCTGGCCCCAAAGGAGTGGATTGTTAGATCCACGTTGGTTAAAGAGGAGACCGAAACATTCTTTATAAGGACATGAAACTTTTAAGGGAACCCAAAAGGGAGAACATAAAGAGACAATATCTACTAGCAGTAAGTTTGACAGTTACAAATAGTATCAAAGCTGGACACTTTCGGGAAAGTATAAAGAAGACAATATCTACTAGCAGTGAGTTTGATGGTTACAAATGGTATCAAACCCAAACACCGGGCCAGTGAGTTGACTGAGCCTTAAAAGGGGGTGGATAATGAGATCCCACTTCGGTTAGAGAAGAAAATGAAGCATTTTGTATAAGCTAGAAACCTTTTCCTAGCAGACGCATTTTGTCGGCTATTTAAAAAGAAAGGGAGCCCAAAAGGAAAAGTCTACAGGCATTGACAGCAGGATTTGATTGCTTGACGAATTAGGAAGGTTGAAGTTACTCCAACAATCTGTGATCATTCATGTAGCAGATAAAATTGAGATTGTTTCTAGTACATCTACAAAAGTTTCTTGGAATTTTGAAATATTTAATAAACTGAAGATGATTCTCATATGTTCCTCTACAAAAGATTGATTCTTATATTTAAGAAACTGTACTCAGGACTGGACAACAAATAAAATTTGAATTACCTCTGTTCCACCTGATTCAAGCTCTCCACTATTGAGAAAGAAAAACAAGGCTTGCAAATTTGTTCTCTGGTAGAAACAAAGAACTGTGATTTGCACTCAGAATCAGATATACATTTTGTGCCGCCCATCTTGGAATATATTGAGGTTTCATAGTTTATGGCGCTCGCATCTTCTCAACAATGTTCCTGCTCTTTTCTTCAATGGTTCGTCTCTTTTCTTCTAGTTTCTCCCCCATCTTCTTCCCTATTTCTAGCATTCTTGCTCTTCTTCCTGTTCTCCTTGGCGGCTTTGGATCATCTTCCTCAGCGTTATGATTTTCCTGCCCAGATGAGCTTATAGAACTAGATGGTGATTCATTCTCCTGCGCGTCTACTCTATTTTGCTGCAAATTTTCTATTTCTTTGTCATTTTCTAATAAAGGGATTTTCATTTCATCTTCATCCAGTGCCTTACTTGAAGCTGGAGTTGGATTACCAGTGCTTGATGAAGCCTTTGATGCATTCATCAAGTCAGTGTGTGGCTGAGAAGGCTCGTTCTGAGGTATTTTATGCTCAATGGAGATGGTTTTACTGGCTTCAGATCTATTTTTTGGCTCAACAGGATTGGATCTTTGATTTTCACATGAAGATTTGTTATCAGAAGCACCTTGGTTGAACCAGATCAATGGTGCAACGTCCCGTGGAACCCAGTCGTCCTTCTCGGCCATCATGAATGGAATGTATATACTTTCACTGTTGGGGAGCACTAAAGTATCCTTGATCACTGCCTGCATAGTAGGTAACATTAGCAGAATATCAGCAGGATTTACACAACATCGTTTAATTTCATGCTGCATCTTAATAACATGTAATGAGTTTGTGTTCATGCTGCTGCATTTTAACCTTTCAGACACTGGATTACACACTTGATCAAGAGGATTCAGGCAGCGTTTTAGTTTTAAACATGGTTACGACGATCATGGAAAGCGAGCGCTAACAAATTCATATACTTGAGGTATGATTTTCTATTTGAAACCATCATTCGTGATTCTTTGTTATCACTGCTTCCTTCATTTTAATATGAAACAAACATATCACGACACGAGTTTCTTTGGCATCCATCACAAGCTAACGTGCTAGCATGAGGCTTGTGCGATGCCAACGATCAAAGAGATACAATATTAATAGCCTTCTGAGAGGATTAACTGTCCCAAAATCTACCCATTATGGACGGATTCTTAAAAATTAAGCCTACTGAACCAACTTCATGTTAGGAAACAAATCTCCATACCTTAAGCCGGTTGTTCAAAAACTGAGCAACATGTGCACTAGATATCTTATGGTCCCCAAACGATGATTCCAAGCGCAACTCCAAATATGGCATGGATGTAAAACTGTACCATAGCTGATCAGAAGGAGGCGGTTTTATATGTACCCGCAGCGTCCCTCGGAGAGATGCAACCTTTAGTACCAAAGAGATCGGCACCTATAAATTCAAAAACAAATGAGAAAATTATGAAAGGGGCTAACTCCGTGCATCCAAGACATCTAACAATGCCTCTTTAGTTTCAGGATACACACTTAAACTTAATTATCAAACACGAAGGTCGACGAACCTGAGAAACCTGTTTAGCAATAGAATTCATTAGAGATTTCCACTTGGATCCACTAGAGCATGAGGACGTGGGGTTCTTACTGTTTTCCGACCCACCTGCAACCGAACATTGAACTACTGAGATTATAATTGAACCTAAAATCAGAATTCTATCTCTGATCTTATGCATTTAGACTTTGTGCAGGCAACAAAAAGAATTATAGGTTACCAGTTCATGAGGATAGAACATATGAAAACCATTTAATGGTTAGTTGCTCACCTTCGTCGTTCTGTTCTGTTCCTTCAGAGGTACTGAACTGCTTTCCAAGATAAACTTCTAGAAATGAAGAGACCTCCCCAACATCACTGGAATCAGATTTAGAGTCTACTGCGCTTTTTTGAAGATCTAATTCATGAACTTCAATTCTAGTTTCGATATCTAAGGCAAAGCCTCCAGAGTATTCAAAGTCAACCTCAAAGGCCCATACCTCACTCAATTCAAAGGGAAGAACCCTTATAGTATTGATATTGGGCGGGAGGTTTCCAGGATGAACTTTAGTACAGCTAACTTCGCGAATGTAACTTGGAGTCCTCATGTTCGACAACATCCTCTGCCATGACAAACAAAAGTATTCATCAAACAGTAAGAGAACGTATGTAACATCCCAAACCCACAGCTAGCAGATCTTGTCCTCTTTAGGCTTTTCCTTTCGGGCTTCCCCTCAAAGTTTTTAAAACGCGTCTGCTAGGTAAAGGTTTCCACACCCTTACAAAGGGTGTTTCGTTCTCCTCCCCAACCGATGTGGGATCTCACAATGTAATGATAGGAGTATCAACATTCTCAAAAAAAAAAAGAAAGGATCTCTTGGGGAAAAAAATGAACCTGAATTCGATCGTGCAAGGATTTCATTAGCCCTTCATTGCTTTTGGCATCAAAAAAGAATCTTGACATCAACAAATTCCAACTAAGTGTTCCATCATCAGTCAAGAATCTGTCATCAGAATCTGCCTCAGAAATAACAGAGGCATGACCATGGTGGCTTCCTGAGTGAACCATTGATGGTGTTGCCATATCTTCCTCAAATAAACTTTTAGTACTCTGCGCCTTTGGAATTCCCTTCCCTAAGCCCGATGACGAAACAAAACCTGGACTCGGATGAAACCTATCACTAAAGTTTTTTTCTTCACGCAAAGAAGAAGAAGAAAATTTTACTTTATAATCTGAAGCAGCCTTAGAAGTCTTCTTTGCCAGTTTTTTGAAAAATAGCTGAACCTTCGAAGGAGCGTTAGGCTTGATATCCTTATCAGTAGCTTCAGAATAGTACCCTGCAGAGGGCTTCATAAATGAAGGATACCCAGTTCTTAAAGAAGAGGTATAACTATGGAACTCTTTCTGTAAATTAGCAAACCACTGCAGTCTTTCTTTGTCAACACATGAAGCTAGACGGAGGGCTTTACACCATGATTCCTTCTCCCAGGAAGTTTCAAGAAAAATGAAGATTGTTTTACTTTCATTATAAACTATGGAGGTTCTGTTTTCCAATTTTAAAGGGAACCTTTTCACCCTGAAATACCAATAATCAAATTATAAAAACATGGCGTCCGGAATTCAGAAGAACAATAAAAAAAACACGAAACTTAAGTTCTTATTATGTACCCTCAAATTCAAATTCTATACCGATAACAAGTATCACACTCTAACACATAGCAGAAAAGATTTCCAACATTGATACACATCGAAACCATTAAGGTACCAAATAAATTCAAACAGAGTAACAAAACAAGTATTCTGCACCTTCCACACATCAAGAATATCAACATTTTAATAGCTATAGATTGTAGGGTCGATTTAGAGGAATGAACAAGAAACAAGCAACAAGAACACGCAGCATGAGAAAATTTAAGAACAGTATACACAGCTAATTTTACTTGTATGCATAGCCACGAGCTCCTATAAATTCAACCATTTCTTATCAGATCATAGCAAGGAAAAGAAAAGTTATTGAAAGAATAATGGGCAGGGTTGAAGCTTTTAGAATTGAATTCAGCATCTCAATAAGTAAGAATAAAAGAATAAAATGTCTGTAAGCTAAAAATTTAGAGCATGAAGAACATCATCATATGCTAGAAAGAACTTTTTATATTGAAATGAAATATGAAAGAAGATACCATTTTCTTGAAGGCAAGGTTGCTGCTGAAACGGCTTCAATGGTGCAGCCATTTAATTGAATTGTTTTCGTATTACCATCTGATTCTGATATAATTAACGTCTGGTCCTTGATTCTTGCATACTTTTTTACAGGAGTTACCTCTAAGAAATCTTTCCCTTTCTTTTGTTCTCCAGGTGCTTTCTCTATCATATCTTCTAGCACATTTGATTCTAATATCCATACCCAACCCTGCCAAGCAAAGAGATCATATCGCAAGAACAAAATCCAGAATTATTAGTCCATTTAGTAAACCCAAGAACAACCAACAATACGATTTCAATCAATTTTTTGCGTGTTTGAACTCCGAAACGAAACAAGAACACATAAAAACTGAATTGAATACCTGCTTGTTGGAAAGAAATTCAAGGGATTGAAGAGGATCTGGCTCGGATTGCTCTAGCTTGGCATTGGCTATCGCTAAGTCCTTTTGAGACCTCTTGCTCAACTTGTTCAAAATGATATAGACTGCAAGAGCCTCCGCCGCAAGGATTGCCACAACCCCAAAACCAAAACCGAATAGAAACGTCAGAATCAAGAGGGACCCCATTTCAATTGTTCGCAATCACCAACGAACTCTAACCATGAAATCTCACGAAATCGAGTTGCAGGTACTGGAAAAAGGGATTGGGAATGGGGGGAAAGTGGAGAAAATGAACGAACAATGCGACCCCTAAACCCCAAAAGGAAAAATATCGAAAGAATCTGAATCGGAAACTCTGCTTGGGTCCAGCTTAGTGCCAAGTTAGATGGAAGTAAAAGTAATCGAAATCAACGGAGTGTAACGCTTGAGATTCTTCTTCTTTTTCACTAATTACAGAGAGCAACAGCCACAAACACGGAGAAGAAAAGAATTCTTTCAGTTTCATAGACGGATTGAAGAGAATTGATTAGGGCCTCATTTTATAGTTAATGGGAAAGCTGGATTTTGAACCTACTTCCAATCGAAGATAGTTACAGAGTCTTTCCTAACAATTTCGTTTTTTCTTCTTCTTCACGATAATTCCAAGTGTTCTTAAATCTAATTCTCTAAATCCATGCCTGTTGATGAGCGGTGTTTTTCCACATTCGAGGTGGGGTTTTTTTTTTTTTTTTTTTTTTTTTTAAGAACTTAATTAAATCAATTACAAATTGAGAGCTAATTCTTTCTCAAAGAAGAGATAACTTTATTGGTCTAGATGTGTCACGAATTAATGTTCTGAGCTTCAAATTATTACTAAAAAGATGAAAGTGATTTAAATTTGTATTTAGTTTGATGTAGTTTGTTCGTTTTTATTTCAATTTAAATTTTATTGATTTTTGTCTTACTGAGATTTAAAGTCTAGTCATGACAACATGTTATTTGTTCATTTTATAAATTCATTTAAAAAGATGTCAATTTTCTCTACTAGACTTCTTTTTATCTTGATTATGAGTGATCATGTTTTTAGTCACTTAATCAAAATATATTTCAAATCATGATTTTAATTNAAAAAAAAAAAAAAAAAAAAAAAACTCTGAATATTATTGCTATTTTTTTTTCCTTCTTATGTACCAAAATAGTTCAATTTTGAAATTAAAAAAAAAATATTTTGTCGTTCAAATTTAACTAAAAACTCAAAAAAAAAAAAAAAAAAATTAAAAACCAAGTCCAAAAATTATTTTCAAAATTTTCAAGAAAGGAAGAACCTAAATAAGAAAATGAAGTCATAATCAAACAAGGTTCGAATCTCCCTCTGAACTTCGAACTATATATTTCCTACTCTAGCAACCATTGAAGAACGATTAAAGTAAAGACGGAGAAAAACAAGAACAAAAACTTACATTACAACTCCACCAGATAAACAAAATTGACACTCAATTACAAAACAACTCCCAATCAGGCATGTCTTAATAGCAACCTACATGTCTAGGGAAGTTCATATCATAAAAGGTTAAAAGCAGACTGGGGAGAAAAACTGAAGCCTGAACCCAAAAAAAACCCTCAGCCATGCCTCTGCTTTTAAACCACAGCAATGTTCATCATTTTTCATGAGCAAAAAAGTACAAAAGCGTTGGTTCAGAATCAAAACTCCTGGTTTTCTAACTGTGAAATGAACTGCAGTGAGCAGAGGCAGAGGTAAGAGCTTCTCATGTTGGTTGCAAAAGCATGAACAGAAATATACAACCTGCATGAAGGAGAATCAGTAAGCCAGCCTACGAAATGGAAACTGATTATTTACATGCTCGAGTGCAGGGAAAAGAAGTTGAAGTCATGATGCTGGACACCGAGCTGCTTCAACCATGAATCAGCTGCATGATAGAGATCGACGATTCGGTCGTAGTCAGACGTGTCTGGCTTCAACCAGAGGTCTCCCTGAATTCTATAAGTGGCTAACCCAAATGGAGAAAGGCTAGTAGAAGTAGAAGTACTAGTTTTGCCATCGATTTGACCCCCGGTATCGGATTCGGAATAACTACATCCATCTTGCCCTTCATGATCCATAGAGCAATCTGCAGTCATCAAACATTGAACTTTGTAGTGTATAAATAGATATTGGATCCTAACATTTCTGAAAAGAAACATTGATAGTCCCACACCTTGAAAAGATGATGACAATGTATGATACGTTAGAAAGCACGTCGCGAAGTCTTTGTCGTTTTTCTGACTAGGGATATGATAAATAGGGTACCTGAATCAAGTTAAAAGCATTGAACAGAACCAATAAGCAAAAGGAAACGGAAAATAAGCTTTTGCGTGGATCGGTCGATAGGGAAGGCGAATTTTACCAGGAAACAGCCATCCAACTAGCTGGAGAAAGATCCACACTCCTAAGTGTAGTTAGTGCTGGATAGTTTTGAGTTAGTTCCCTTATCTGAAATGCAGATCGTCTAACATAAGCAAAGAAGAAGATGCTGATAATATCATTTTACACTTCTTCAATGCTTTATGTGTTCTTGCAGTACTCGACCATCTAAATTCCATCTATTTTCTTTTTTCATTTGAATATCAAAACTATCTTTTGATCTTCTATCGAAGGCTTATCGACAAATATAGAGCTGTTAAATTTGAAAACATCAGTTTCTATCCGTGAAGATAAATACCATGATCAATTTAGAACAACAAAGGATCTACCTTGTCCATAAAAGGCACTCTCCAATAAGGAGAAGACATCTCCATATACTGTAAAGAGAGGTAGCCAAGTTTTTCCCTCAGCGGCCACGATCCCTCCTGGTCGAAGATCGAATCTTCAGAAACAGCATCCCATGTCCTGCTAGAGTTGTTGCTCAGGGATCTTGACAAGATATCACTCCAGCTATCGTCACTCCAAGAATCGCTTTCACATTCTGCCATGTCACTATCATATCTTCGGCTTCTACACACACAACTCGAACAAATATAGCTCATTTGCAACACAATGCACTAAAAACAAAATTATATATCAAACATTTCCTTTAAAACTCGCACTAATCTTCCCTCTTTCATAAATTCCAATAAACAACCCCTTGTCAAAAAGAAATATATCAGTTTTTGTAACAGCCCAAGCTCACCGCTAGCGGATATTATCTGCTTTGGCCTGTTATGTATCGTTGTCAGCATCACGATTTTAGAACACGTCTGCTACGGAGAGGTTTTCACACCCTTATAAGTGTTCTGTTCCCCTCTCCCACCAATGTGGGATCTCACAATCCACCCCCTTAGGGGGTCAGTGTCCTCGTTGGCACACCATTCGGTGTCTAGCTCTGAGACCATTTGTAACCGCCCAAGCACACTGTTAGCTAGTAGATATTGTCTTCATTGGGCTTTACCTTCTAGGCTTCCCCTCAAGGTTTTAAAACGTGTCTACTATGAAGAGGATCTAACCCTACTCCGACCAATGTCTTACACCATCCGGTGACTGACTCTAATACCATTTGTAATAGCTCAAGTCCACCGCTAGCAGATATTGTCCGCGTTGGCCCGTTACGTATTGCTATCAGCCTCACGGTTTCAAAACGTGTCTGCTAGGAAGAGGTTTTTACACCCTTATAAGAAGTGTTTTGTTCTCCTCTCCAACCAATATGGGATATCACAATCCACCCTCTTTGAGGGCCCAACGTCCTCACTGGCACACTGCCCGACCACCACTAGCTGATATTGTCCGCTTTCACTCGTTACGTATTGCCGTTAGCCTCACGGTTTTAAAACACGTCTGCTAGGGAGAGGTTTCCGTACCCTTACAAGGAGTGCTTCGTTCCCCTCTCCAACTAGCGTGGGATCTCACCGTTTTCAAACTTCAGAGGCAGCAGAAGGAAATGAAAGTTGCTTCAGTATACCTGGAAGGTGGAACAGACTTGCTTGTGTAGATCTGAATTGCAGACAGATAAGGCACGTAGAATTGGGTAGCAGTTTCAAAAGCATTCAACTGTAATGGTATACCAGCACCATATGCACTCCATTCATCGTAGTAATCCCACAGCTCTCCAAGCGTGAAGTACCCAATGGTATCTTTATCAGGTTGTTGCCACTGACTATTGAGATCATGAAGACAGCTCTATAAGGAAAAGAAACATCATAGTCTTAGAGGAAGCAATCAAAGGGATAACATGCAGCGATACCATCAATAAATGAGCAAAAAAGATCAAAAGCCATTAAATCTCATTTTGAAGACTTTTAACGTTAAAGACACTTGACAATTCTTTTGATGACCCACAACAAAGAAATTTAATTTATGAAAGTATTTATTCATGGCCGGAAAAAGAAAAAAGAAAAAACTTTAAACTAATCAAAATGCCACGTGGCGCAGATGGAAGACTCATAATGACAAGACATTTGAAAACATGTCGTATGTCCTATCTATTTAATTTATTTTTCAAGCAAATGACAAAAATAAGAAATTCTGAAGATAAGGGTGGGGCCAACTTCGACGAAAATAATAAATTTGCTTATTTATCTAAATTAAATTGAGCTTCAAAAAATGACATTAAATCTTTAAATAAATAATATTATGACTTACGTCGGCCCATTAAGGGCCCACTACATTAATTATTTGTTATGGAAAGAAATTTGCGTAAAATTAAGATATGGAAAACCTTTCCATGATTTACTTTTATTTTATTTAATAAATAAATAAATAAAGCTGACCATGGGGAAATGGAGAAAATTATATTGGTGGTGGAAAAATGGGGGAATTTTCAATTTCCAAAATTAGGGTTGAGGTGGAAATTGAAATAATTATATAATAAAAATTATCCACATCGTGAGTCACATGGTTCTGCAGATACAAATTCAGAAATAAATAAATGAAAAATTATAATGGAGGGAAGGGGGGGAATGTAGGATTTATAATGAAATAATAAATAATAAATAATAATTAAAGAAAATAAAATGCTGAATATATATATATATATATATATACTTTTTTTTACCCGAGGAAGAGTTCGCCAAGGAACGCAAGGAGTAACGCATTGAAGAAACCGTTCCAAATTAGAGGAACTAAACGGCGCCGTTTGAGACATCGATTTTCTCGCTCTTCTCGCCTCCTCTGATCGAAATTCCGGCTAGGTCTTCGTTTCGTTCAGAGGAATGTGCGTTTCCGGTGGTGGATGATTGACGAATTGGTTGAATATAAAGAAAAATGAGGCACCTGATCGGGAAATCCGGCTGGTGAAAAAGGAAAGAACAGAAGGAATTGAAAATTGAGAGAAATAAAAAAGGAAAAGCAAATTCAGCGGCACAGTGGAAGAATCGATTACAGAGAACGAGCAATGAAGATAAAAGGAAAGGAAAAAAAAGAGAAAAGAAGATGAAAACATACTCTTAATTAGCAATCAATCCATCGGCGAATTTCTCGTTCAGTAGAGTCGTGGTTTTCCGAAATGGTGGAAGAAGAAGACGGAGGAAGAAAGCAAAAGGTCGGATCGAGAGATGAAGAAGACGAAGAGTTGAGGATAACGCTGAATTTCGAGCAGAGGCTTTGACTGAAAATTTGTTTCAGAGAGAAAAAGGTTTTAATGGGAACTGAAGAGAGAGGGAGAGATTCATTGCATTTTTTAAATCAGTTTTATTGGGAATTAATTGAAGTAATTGGGCGAAGGAAACTGATGGTTTGGAATTGGGAATGCCAATAAATAAATAAATAAATAAATAAAATGGTTAAAGATAAAGACGAGAGAATTTAATAAAATAAGGTTGAGGAGGAAATTATGTTATAATATTTAATAAACATGGAAGGGGGAAGAAACCAGAAGCGGTTAAATTGCAAATTAGTGTTTCTTTGGGGGGTGTTTTGGGAATATACTAAATTTAAGTACAGACTTTTCCCTGTCGCCGCGTGTAGAAGGGACGCAGCGGCAAGGCAATGGCGGGCACTGCTGAGCGTGCTTACACTACCCTCACCCAAGCAACACGTTTGCAACCAAAGCGTTCTGTTCATACGCCCTTTCACACCTCCCTATTTCATTTTAAAAACATTTAATAGTCGGAGATTATGAGTTTATAAGTAAAATACTATCTCTATTTTACTCCACATTTTAGATAAATTAAAAGTAAAATCACGCCACTTTATTCTTAAAATAGATAAATCATACCATTTTAGATATTCATGTTTTTAATATGATATTATTAAAGTGTCGAATAAATTGTGTATTTTGTTTGAAGGTTAAAAAATATGTATTTCATCTCTATTTTTTTTATTTTTTTTCTAACCATGTTTTTAAAATCTGTATCAAATTTTAAATTTGGCTGAAGATATAAAAAATAATAATAATAAATGTGTTGATATTTATATTTAATGTACTCTATTTAATTCGAATAATAAAATCAATACTAAAACGGTATATTAAATAGATATAAATTAAAATAATTTAATTATGTTAACTTTTTACCATTAGAAATGTTTATGAGATTATTTCCAAATCACTAAATATGGATAGTTAGATAAATATTTTAATTTTTGAATTTCTTATTAATTACCGAAACAAAAATTAAAGTGATATATATATATATATTTAATTTAATTTTTTAAAATTTTGGGAATTGGGAGAATATAGAGAATTAATTGGATTTATTAATAATGTTTCCAGATAAAACTAAATAAATAAATAAATAAAAATAAGGAAAGATATTTTAATTGGAATTTGCGTATAAAAGGAAATTAGGAAAGGATTAATATTTTGAGTATTAAATAAAAATACAGATTTTGTTGGTGATTTGATGCCAAATATATAGTTTTTATTTTATTTAGGTTTGACCTAAATCTAGAAATATGTCATTTTTACCCTTCTGCTTATCTACTCTACCACTATAGTCCAACATAGAATTTTTATTTTATGACCAATTAGTTGTTGGTTGTAAAAGTCATTTCCAAGCTAAAAGTTGAAGTTGAATAATACTATAATACTTTATTATAGTATTAAAATTTAATCAATAATAAAGTTTTGAATAAATAATATTTTGATAAACTTAAATTAATTATAAATATTATAATTAACCCTAAATGTTTTATTTATTAATATTGAATTTTATAATTTGATAAAGTTTTTGGGCCCAATCCATTCGGATGGTCTTCCCTTCGGCCCATTTTGTTATTTATAAATTATATATATATATATATATATATATATATATATATATATAAAATAAAATTTAATGGTATGTCTCTTTATTTACCCAACACCAAAAACCAAAATAATTTATCAGGTTTAAAGCTAAGTTATAGGTATTGAGGGGTAGTTTAGGCATTAATAATTTTATTTTTTTTTATTGGATTTTAAATAATAGGGTAATCAAAGACGTTAAGCCACTCTCCTTAGAGTTGGTTGAAATTTCATTTATTGTCATTGAAGAATTCTGCCAAATTTTATTTTTCTAAAAGATAATTACAGACCCAATAATATTTTTATGAAATTAAAAAGGAAGTTGGTTAAAAAAAAAAAAAAAAAAAAAAGTATAAACTATAGTGATTATCAAAAATTAAAAATACCAATAAATGAAACATTTATTGAAATTTGTTAAATTTCATTTTTTTAAAACACTCTGCAATAATAATAATAATAATAATAATAATAATAATAATAATAATAATAAAAGAAATATGGGAGTGCTTTTAAAATAAAAATTGTAATAATAAAAGACTCTGATAGCAAAGGCATGACAGATTATATTCAATAGACAATATCATACTACTATATAAAGTTAAGATTCCTAGCATTGTATCATAGTCATGCCTTTATCTTAACCATATCAATAAAATTTTCAAATGTCGAACGAAGAAGTTGTGAGCTTCGAAGGTGTAGTCAAAAGTGACTATAGTATCGAATAAATGGTGTATTTTGTCGAGTCTTGATTAAGGAGAGACTGTTGGAGGGCTTTATAGATCTTAGTGGAGTCTCTATGGTGTAGTTTGTCGAATACGAGAATTGTTGAGGATTGTTTGAAGGAGTCCCATATTGACTGATTAGTGGATGATCATGAATTTATAAGTAAGAAGTACATATCATATGAGGCCTCTCGAAAAAGTCTAGAACAAAGTCACGAAAGCAGATAATATTAGTGTAGAAAGGTGTGATTACTAAGATAGGGTAGGGTAGTGTGTATGGGAGGGGCCAAGGGGTTGAATTTGAATGCAGAGCGGCTAAGGTTTTTAAGAGGCGATGAATTAATAGTCGGTTGGGGTGTGCGTGGCGAGGCTGACAGACTGCGAGGCCCATCTCCTTCCTCTGCAACCAAACTAACTGCTATTAAATGGCGGTTGACTCTTTAAATATGCAAAAAAAAATTGATTTAGATTTATTGGCATTAATTTTCCGAAGAGAAATTTTGCATAAAAAGCGAGAAAGTTTGGTTTCTGTTCATATCGATGCATGTGGATGAGTTAGAACGAACAGAGGAGAACAATTTAAAGAGAAAGGTCACTATTCCGCCATGGAAGGTAGAGCAAGCTGTCGGCCTTAGCATTCAATGCTCCTACCAACATCTACCAGTTCCCATTAATTACGGATTAGAAATATGGCTTCTCCTTCTTTCTTCCCTTCAATCTCTCCCAAAATTCTCATTCCACTGAACGTTTCATCGCTCATACGATTCGCAATTTTCTGTTCTTTCAGGCTCCTTTTGCATGGGCTTTCCCTTTTATCTTCTCTGATTCTTCTCGGTCTTAGTCACACGATACCCATTTCACCAATTTCTTTCTTTCATATATTTATACACTTTTTTTGGGTGGGGAAGCGGAGGAAAACAGTGGGGTGTTGGAGGAATTGGGAGTGGCGACTGCGGCGGAGATGGAGATTGAGGCGAGCAAATCGACGGGGAATGGGGCGGCGGGGATTGGTTTGAGCCCTTTGAGTGAGACGCTATGGCGAGAGAAGGCGAAAACGGAGATTGTTGGGGGGGTTTCTGCGAGATTGACATGGAAGGATCTGACGGTGATGGTGAGTTTAAGCAATGGAGAAGTTCAGAAAGTTTTGGAAGGATTGACTGGTTATGCAGAGCCTGGAACTTTCACTGCTTTAATGGGGCCTTCTGGTTCTGGAAAATCTACTCTTCTCGATGCTCTTTCGAGCCGTCTCGCTTCTAATGCCTTCCTCTCTGGTACTATTCTCCTCAATGGGCGCAAAACTAAGCTCTCCTTCGGCGCTGCGGTCTGTTCTCGTCTGTTTTGCTCTGTTCTACTCTGTTTTACTCTGCTCTGCTATACTAATGGCTCTTTTCATAATCTCTGGATTTTTTGGGTGATCATTTCCCATAAACATGATTAAAATTGAATTTTAGAAAAGGGTTTTTGAAGGGCGTGCAAGAATTCATTCATTTCGTGGTAGTTTGAGGTAATATATTGATTTTAATGCACTAAAATTGAGTTAGAATTACGTGGAGTTTCTTAAGTGGGTGGATGGGTTTATGAACATTGTTGCTTTCAGCTGAATAAAAGACGGCTGGGTATTGCTTTTCTTGTCTTTTTCCCATTTTTTCCGTCTTGGGAAACAAACACAAAAACTGAAAGAATTATTTGGTTTTTCTTGTCTCTCAGGCTTACGTGACTCAAGATGATAATTTAATCGGCACACTGACGGTGAGGGAGACGATAGCTTATTCGGCTAGGCTTCGTCTCCCCGATAAAATGCCATGGGAGCAGAAACGAGCTCTGATAGAGAGCACTATTATCGAGATGGGTCTTCAAGATTGCGCCGACACGGTCATTGGGAACTGGCATTTGCGTGGAATCAGCGGCGGCGAGAAGCGGCGGGTTAGTATCGCCATTGAAATTCTCATGAGACCTCGATTGCTCTTCCTCGACGAACCCACCAGTGGATTAGACAGGTATGTGGAAACCCTAAAGCTAGAAATCAAATCACCATTGATTTCTTAATTCAATTCTTTCGGTGATTTCCGCAGTGCTTCTGCATTCTTTGTTACTCAAACGCTGAGAGCTTTATCGAGGGATGGAAGAACAGTGATCGCCTCAATTCACCAGCCAAGTAGTGAGGTTTTTGAGCTGTTTGATCAACTTTACTTGCTTTCTGGAGGCAAAACTGTGTATTTTGGTCTAGTTTCAGAGGCTTATGAGGTGAGAGTTATTCCATTTTTGATCTAATGCGAGCTACAGAGCTAAGGTGTTCCGCCATTGTTGGAGGTTTTGATATTGAATTCTTGAACTGTGTAGTTCTTTGCTCAAGCTGGCTTTCCTTGCCCTGCTTTGAGGAACCCTTCTGACCATTTTCTTAGATGCATCAATTCAGACTTTGATAAAGTCAAGGCCACTCTCAAAGGTTCTATGAAATTAAGGGTATAACCTTTTGAGTTACTCTACGTTTTGTAGTTCATTTCCCTTTTACTCAATGCTGATTCTTAATCCCTTTTCTATTTCCTCCATTCAGTTTGAATCTAGTGATGATCCATTGGAGCAAATCAGCACGGCCGAAGCGATTCGAACTCTTATCGACTTCTATCGTTCATCACAACAGTGTTATGCAGCGAAAGAAAAGGTCGAGGAGATGTCGAAATTTGTAAGACTTCTACTGGCTACTATAATCCACTGCCGAATGATTGTTCAGTTGGAATGTTCCTGAAAGTTCTTTGTGTTGCAGAAAGGAACCGTGCTAGATTTGGGAGGCAGTCAGGCTAGTTTC